TCTCTTTCTCGCCATTTGTGTGAGATTTTCCCCAGCCACGCCTTCAGAAAAATCGCCGGGCAGGTCCCCCAAATCCATAAAAATGTCTCCGAAAGAAAACTCTACCCGACCCGAAATGGACCGTGAGTTAGGCTGGTTAAGACCGGCAGTTTCAAACGCTGATTTCAGAGCTTCATCGACTTCTTCCACCTCGGTAATAAACTCCCTGGTTGATTCGGCGACCAACTCGACTTCCGGCTCTAAGTCTCGCTCTAAATCGGAAGTCTCGAGACCAATCTGTCTTAGGGACTTGAAGCTGGGGAAGATAAGAGCCGAATGGTGTTGTTCGCCGGTTGGGATAGGAATGTTGTCTGCGGCCGAGAACGTAGTATAGGTAGGCTCGTACCTCAGAAGAATATGGGCGGCCCTACCTTGTTTCTATACATTCGGACGACCAAAATACTTTAACGCAATCTTAATGTCCGAAAGTACTGCGTCGTCAGTCGAGGTCAGAACCCTCTTCAACTTATTGCCTGCAAAAAACGGAGGGTTATATTTGGAGAAGAAGCCGAATAAAAGAAAATTAAACAAACAAGAAATCACACGGCAACCTAGTTCACCCCTCCATCTGGGAATAGGGTCCAGGCGATCTTCGCCTTCGCCGAATTCCCAGTTGCCCCGAACATTGACCATTACATCATCAACACGTTTGCCAGAACTGACAAGCATGGTTACCAAGTGATGATCGGTATCCCTCGCCCTGAGAAAGTATCGCCCGAGCCGACCGGAGGATTCGGCTAAAGCGTAGCAATGCCGAATCGCAGGAACGCCCAAGTTGATCCTGAGGCGCTGGTTCAATTCGACAATTCCCATTACGATTCGAAAGAAATTCACATTGAGTTGCGAGGGAATTAGATCCCAGTGGCGGAAGACGGCCCAAAGAAATGGATGTAGGGGAAAGCGAACACCGCCCTCCACAATGGACAGGAGAGGGAACACGATTGTATTTGGGTCATCCCTCTCCATATCCAGGGAACTCTCCGGTTACTAGAGATAGATGAACATCATCAGGAATAGAGAAATGTTTTCGGAACCCAGAAATTCGACCCTCAGAGAGGAGGTCTTTCAAATGCTTAGCCATTCTAGAGAGAACTCAAGGATATTATAAAGCAAAAAATAAATATGGAAAGTAGGATTGCAAAGAAAAGAGAAGAAGACTTACAAGAGGCAAAGAGAACGAAAAGATGACGGAGAGGAGTTGCAGAAAATACGTCGAAGAAGAAATACCGATAGGCGGTCGAGAAGGTTCAAATATTCGAAAAAGTGTGTTCGAAGGGACTTGAACTTCAAATCATAATAAATGCGAGAGAAGCACGAATGAGGCGGGAAGGCGTTACAGTGACCGAAAAGCATGTACGTGTTCTGACATGCATCGGGAAGAGGATTAATCGCTGAATTTCTATTTTCCCAAACCAAGAGCCAAACACGCCGACTAACTGATGCTAAAAGGGTGTTTGGGGGGCAATTGTGGGAGCCGAATATTAAAGGAGGCATACTTTAACATAGGTATTGCCCGGCTCTATCCAGAACCCTAAGGATGCCGAATATAAAGGGTAGATGGGCCGAATAGGCACCGAGTTATGGAGCCGAGTAAATATGGGCATAATGAGCGAAAAGTGGACCAAGCCCCGAGGCCTAGGGAACGAATATAAATAAAGGAATAGCAGACTGAGAAAGGTATGTGATAATTGTGGAGTTTAACATAGAATACAAGTAATCTAGAATGAGAGACTGACTTATCCGTCGGAGTGCTAATTCCGGCACCCCCGACCGGAGTGTTTACTTCATTTCAGGTGACTATCGGTGGATCACGAGCGTCCCCCAAGATCGAAAGAGTATTTTCTAAAACCACATCCCCACAAAAACGATTTGTCGGATTTGGACTCTTTGGTGATTTATCAATCTTACATTGCACTTTGTGAGATTAGATTCAGAACCTTGACAGGAGTCTGAACTGTAGTAGCTGAGAACCCAATTCGCGCCCTCGTGCACGGAGCGAAGTTCGGGGCCGTCTACACCAAGCAACTTGGAAACATTCGACACACGACGGCTTCATCATCAGCATGCAACATCATCACTTGTTTGTAATGACGAATGTGATCCATAAGGTCTGACTTACCATTATACAAGGTGAACGTTGGTGTTTTAAACTTTTTAGGCAATACAGCCTTTGCAATGTGTAGACACCCCATTTTTTACCGTCCTTACGACTTGGACGTCATCGTTTACACACCCAATGATGAGTGTATAAACTTGCTCGAAGTCCTCAGCGGCATGCCACAACTTTAAACCTTTCAAACCTTGCACCTCTGTTACCTTGTTTTTGGACCAAAACCTTGGATTTTCAAGCCTGCAACCTCTGGTGGCCTGCCAGCCATTGCTATAGGTTGTCGGCCATTGCTCCTGGTTGCCGGCCACCAATGTGTTTTGCAGATATTTTGTGACAGCTGTGCTAGCTGTTTGCACAGATGCTTGCATCTACTCCCACGTGTATGGTTGGATGTTTCTGAGGGGGGGTTCATGTTTTTCTATATATAGAGGACCTCCCCTCTTGCTTTGGGGTTAGAAAAATTTTGGGACAAAAATTTTCCTCTCTCTACAATTCTATTTCTCTCTTGCAAATTTTTTCACCTTTGCCTATACACTCTTAACCAAACCTCTCCATCTTTGAGCTAAGGTATCTTTAAGCCTTGTTTGAGCTCTTGAGAGTGTGTTTGCCTTGTTTTATTGCTTGAAAGTGATCTCCACTTTAAGAGGTATAAAGCTTTGTCTCTCTACTTTATTCTTTTTCTCACTATTTTCCAACTGTTTTTGGGCTGTAAAAACTCTATATTTTTGGGCTGAAACTTGGGTTTTAACACCAATAAAGGTTTATGGGTGGTTCACCCTTCTTCACGCCTTGCTTTCAAGGCCTTTACCCTTGTGTTTCCCACATTTACATTATCTTTTTTTTGAGCTTTTAGCACTGATTTTCAGAGTTATTTTAGTGGCTAAAATCATGGTTTGAAAACCAAAATTGGAGGGGTTAGCCTCCCCTCCTTGTGTTTTGCTTACTGTGATCCATGTTTTAGCTTATTATTCTAGCTATTTTTGTCTTAATTCCAGCATATTTTAGGACTTATTTAGGACTGTTTTAGCACTATTTTTAAGTGTTCATTGCATTTGAGCCTTATATTGTATGCTCGTAGTGTAATTGTCCTTATGAGTTTGGTGTTTTAGGCCTTAGACACCACCTTACTTGAGTTGATTGCATTTATTGATGGCTTTCCATACTTGTGATCACTCTTAATCATCTCTGCAACCTCCCTCCTTTCTTGGCTTTTGATTTGCTTTGAAAGTGGTTTCAAACTACTTGTTTGTTTAAGCATGAGATTGAGATGTCATGATTAATGGTTTAATCTCTTTGGGGGTTCATTACCAAAGGCATGATGTCTCTTTCATGCCCAAAACAACTCTTAGTTTGAGCCCTCTTTCCATTAGAGGACTTAAATTCACTTGTGGAGTCAATTAACTAAAGAATGGATGTTAATCTAAAATAAAATAATAAAATTGGTGAATAAAAAAGGTACAAGATAATAACTTGTTTGGGTTCAATCCGATGTTAATTGAACCCTTGAGTCTTGAGTCGTTTCATACTCATTAGTGATGAAAACGGTTCAAGATTCATTTTCCACTACTTCCCTTGATCTTTCATGATAGGGAGGTGGTTTTGAGAGTCTTGTTTTATTGCATTCATTGAACTTGCATACTTGATTCATAAGCCATCATGCAATGAAATTACATCCATTGATGGTTTGTGAATCAAACTTACTACTCCATTGAGCTATTCAAATGATAAGGAGGGGTAAATTGTGCAAACAAACCCTTGAGAATATATTGTCTTTGCTCTGTTTACTCTTTGTTGTAGCAGGAAAGTCCAGTCATCCATGGCCGGCAGGCCATTACTGGTGGCCGGCAGGCCATCATCAGTGGATGGTAGGCCCTCTGCCGGCCACCAGTGCAAAATCCAGCAGTGTGCTTTTGAAGCTGTGTTAGGGCTTCATGATCGGCCAAGGTTTCCTTTTCAGATTTACTTTTCTTCATTATATGAGGTAGGGACTTTCTTCGTATTATTACCTTAAACCTATGTTAGGGATATTTTGAGAAAATATATTATCATAGGAGGCATTGCATATACATATTTCTCATATTTTTGTGTGGTTGATTTTTGGAAGAAAATTATCTTGAAATGTTAAGAATATTGGTATTTTGAACTTGATTTAGAAAAAATCATCTTGTATTGATAATTTTGTTAAAAATCCAAAAATAAAATTTATAGTTGTATGGGTTGTATCTACACACTACAACAAAAAAGGGTTTTTACGGCGCGCAATGCACGTCGTAAAAACCCTTCTACGACATGCAGGCGCACGTCATATTATGACCAGTCATGGAAAGTCATTCACTTTCAACGACATGCTTCGTACGCCGTTAAAAACTATTTAACGACAGATTTTGTGCGTCGTTGTTACTTTTTCTACGACATGCTATAGTACGCCGTTAAAAACTATTTAACGACAAATTTTGTGCGTCGTTATTACTTTTTCTACGACTACTTTTACACGCTGTTAATTGGTGAGACAAATAATGACACAGATTGCGCACCGTAAAATATGCAATACAACGACTTATTATGTCTGTCGTAGAATATATAATTTTTTTTTTTTAAATTCAGTAGGTTCTATTTGACCAATTTTGTACAATCTAACAAATATTACAAACAAGCATCACAAAACATTAATCAACCACCAAAATATTGTTTGAAACATCAAAAAGAAACTATATCCATAAATTATAAACGTTCAACAATTGTCTATACATTCCAAACATTCGAAAACTATATCCTTAAGTTCTAAACTGTACAAAAAGTTTAAACCATCCAAAACTATGCATATCTAACTTTCTAAATATATCGACAACTTTCAAGATTTATCAAATAAATCTAGTGATTGTGCAACCATACACCTCCACAAAAACTCCAAATGCAAATCTGTCTTAAATCCAAACCTCCTCACAATGTGATCAACAAATGAAAGTGGGGTCAGAGAATTCATCTTCCATTGAAGAGTAGATAGCACTAGAAGCTCCATTCTCTGGATTATCTTGGCTTCAAACACAAACTTTGTTTCCTCCACCTAATCACAACACAAAGAAATAAATCAATGACAACACAAAGAAATAAATCAATTCCTAAGCTTCCAAACTGACCATAAAACAGCAAATAGAATGGAATTCTAGATTTTCCTCTCCAGTCTTGACAGATTTATACCGGCCCACCATTGGAGTAAGTCATTAACAGAGCCTGGTAATGCCCAAACTAAACCCCACCATCTAATAACATGTGACCAAAGTAACCAATCAAGCAGACAGTGCAATAACACATGATCATCAGATTCCACCTCAGTCCTGCAGAAAACAGAAAGAACAATAGCATTATTATTGAGAACTCCAATCCTTTGAAGATAGCTGGATGATTTGATCCTCCTTCTCCATGCCAACCACCCAAAGAATTGAGCTTTGGGAGGGGCAACATTTTTTCAAATAGAAGCAGTAATTATACAAATAGGGCCCAGGGACAATTCAAACCAATGATAGGCTGAGGAGACAGGATCTATTTGAGCAACCAGTGGACCACCTTAAATTGTCAAACCTGTTGTCTCTAATAGCAGGTGCAGTAAGTAGAGCATCATTGAATCTCATTATTTCCTCCACCTCCCAATAACTGGGAGGAGTGGGACTTGAACCTTTTACCACTTGAGCAACACACAATACACAGTAAATATTTTGTTTTAATTTTACCTATTTGAATTGCACATGAATCGCATATGCCAACTGCTAGTTATATATAATTCTTTCCACTTGCACAAATTATATTATATGACAATTTTGGAAATGGTAGTCTTAATTACAAAATTACAATCTCAAAAAGAGCATACGTACCAGACCTTTGGGGCATCACAGAATAACTTCAGCAGCAGGTTGGTCTGCTTCAATGCTTGCCAAACATGCTCATTTGCGGCTCATTTATTTCCACACACTATTTGTAACAAGAATAACAGATAAAGATAACAAAAGCAAAAAAAAAAAAAACAACAATAATAATCAAATTTGCAGACACATCAAAGAAGCAACACCGCAGGAAAAAGCATCATGAGTGGGGATGGCCAAAAAGTTCTCAATGTAAGCTACACATTTCAATAAGTTCATGATTGTCCACAAATAAATCTTCTATTGTCCACACCCCAATGATCCATTTGTTTCTGGGGGATTTCATCCGTTAAGATAATAATTGAAATTTTAGAACAATTACAGAAATAGAAAGTTTCTTTGAAAGCATCTATAACACCCATTCATCAAAACCCAAAGAAAGGGGTATTTCACAAGGAGAGATGAAGAAATCATCACAAATGACAACAGAACTAAAATGTTATTTCATGATAATTACAGAAAGGATCCCACAAATGATATAAATTTTTTATTTTTATAAATGTATAAAAAGAGAATCCTTCTAAATAATACAAGAAAGAAAAGGCATCTAAAATGCTATATGGAACAGATAGAATACTTTCATTATGTGAACTTCCACATCCCCTGAAGTATTTTGTATTTCGCAAAAGAGAAACAAATAAAAGCAAAGAAATTGCGTACATATGGCAATTATACAATTGGCATTTGATTATTGCCCTAGAATAGGTAAATAAGATGTAAAAATTGAAAAAGAATCCAATTGACAATGTAAAAACAAAAGTATGTTTTCACACAAGTTGCACAGTTTAGTTAGTGTAGGTCAAACCCAAGAAGCTAGATAAATGTCATAGCCATAAAGAACAATTAGCATGGTCAGCTATAAAATCTGCATATGCATATCAAATTAAAAAAAAAAATTAAGACAGAAAAATGCACTAAAGATAAAACTTACATTTAACTTTGATTAAGCACTGATAGTTTGTTTGAAATAACATGACTACCCAGTTGATTTGAAAAGAGAATCGCATGACTCCCCTTCCATAGATAACATTGATGCCATTCTTGTTTCCACAAATGCATCAGTAGTCCCTGTTGTATTGTATCATTGTTGTCCATTCAAGAATCCTATAACGAATCAAAATCCTAATTGTGCGAATTGTGAATCAAATTGAATCGAGAATCATAAGATTTAGCACAAACTATAAAAAATGATGTTAGACAATTGTATATATTGTGGTGGGGGTGGGTTTGGCACAAGTTACAGTTCTATAAAAGTGAGCAATACCATCTAATTTCTAAGATACTACCTGCAGATGTGGGTCTAAATCCCACAAACAACAAAATATGAAAAAAAAAAATCGAAAACCGAACAATTAAGAAATTATGAAATAACGAAGAAAATATAAAACAAAGAATTGTGAGACCGCAATAAGAACTACTAAAATCAGTAAGAATACACACAATTACCAAGTAATCAAATGGAGTTCTAAAATTTAAGATCCAGCCCTCATGATCACCATTTCTGTTGTATAAAGACTTAACTGTACCACACTTGGCTTTTACTTTTGGTTACATCCTTTTAACTCCTAGACCCCCTTGGCTTTTACTTTTGGTTACATCCTTTTAACTTCTAACCCTTAAATCCACTCAACAGATTCTCTCCTTGCCACCATTAACTTTTGGTTACAACCACAATGCATGCTTATTTGCAAGTCATCTGTTTTATACCCATGAATAATAGCCTAAATGGGTTTCGCATTGTTGCAAAAAAAAAAAAAAAGTGCAGAACATGGTTCTGCAACAAATCTAATCACCTAACTAATATTCCAAGCAACCAAAAAGAGATGGTCAAAATCTAAGAATTTAATTAGAGGAAAAAAATGAAAATTAATATGAGCAATATTGAATTGAGGACCCGAAATTCCCTATTGATGGGTGATGCAAAAAACTATTGAAACCATATCCTATAAATAATGTTGGTTGAGTGAAACACATTCTCTCCTATAATCAATGTAGAATATGCAGTTTTTATAACTCTTGGAGATTGCCCTAATCCATCCTCAAAACCTGCTGAGGAGTGTGTGTTTTGGTATTGGTAATGTATAGGTATTGTATATTTCTGCTGAGGGTGGTTAAAATCTATAATCTCTTATGACAGGTACAACAGGATTTGAGATATGGAGAGGACATAAATAATAAGAGAAATGGACGAGGAAATAACAACACATACTTGTAGATTTAGTGACCGTTTCTGAGAATCAAGTTCCTCTGGGGTGAATTTAGCTTGATTGAAGCAGTGATAGAAGCAATATGAATGTTTTTGATCGGCAAGCATTATGAATGTTACAGAAGATAAACATAATCATAAATTTCAAGTGCTCATCAGATGTTGGATTTCAAAGGAGCTCAAAGAGACAAAAAAAAAAAAGTACCTTCTGAAATGCTTTAGTTTTCAACAATTTGAAAAGAATTAGGAGAGGATAAACAGTGGAATCAATGTTTGAGGGAGAATCTAGCTTCCACGAAGACTGTCACCATCCATAAAAATTGAATGATGAATATAAAAGCTGCAAATTTGACAGAAACATATCAATGAAAAATAATTAAATAAAAATAAACAAACAAATAAAATTGTATGAATCAAACAAACCAAATATGAGTAATGCACTTATAGACTTCACCATCTAGCTCAGTTAATAGAACTATAATAAAACATGTCAATAATGAGACTTTCATTTCTTGCTAATGAGCCACAATATTCATTCAAATTTTACATTTAATAATGCACCATTTGAGCAAACCCAAATCCATGGAAGCATCATGACTATAAAAACAAAAGTATGTTTTCACACAAGTTGCACAGTTTAGTTAGTGTAGGTCAAGCCCAAGAAGCTAGATAAATGTCATAGCCATAAAGAACAATTAGCATGGTCAGCTGTAAAATCTGAATATGCATATCAAATAAAAAAAAAAAATAAGACAGAAAAATGTACTAAAGATAAAGCTTACATTTAACTTTGATTAAGCACTGATAGTTTGTTTGAAATAACATGATTATTACCGAGGGCAAGGAACATGAACCAACCAATGCTCGATCCATAAAAAACTGAACATTGAAATGAGTGCTATTATTTGTCACCATGTCTAGATCACCAATTTCTCCAAACATCAAGGAAAATGAGTAGCAGGCAAGAGGCTTAACCATTTTCTTCCAAGGCACTATTGTTATATCTTTCTAAAATTTAAGAAGCACAAGCTCCATGTCAACACAGGCTTTTGTAAGAGCCTCATTTTCAAGGCCCATAGCCTCAGACAACACCTCCAGCAACTTCCAAGCCAAGTCCATCAATTTCTCGCCGTAGGTCTCCGTTACAGCCCTCCACCCTTCGGGCTTGTCGAGCCATCTTGAGTAGTCCCAGGCCCGGATCGGTTGATGGTGACGTTGACCCAATAAGCCTATCAAAATCTTAGATTATTGAGTAGTAATTAATTAGTATAAAATATACTTATCGTCTCTAAGATAAGTATTCCGTGTTACTTTAGCCTTTTAAAATTTTACTTTTGTGTTGGTTATTGGGACTCGAAGAGTTCAAGTTATTATTAGATTTTACTCATTGAATTCAATAATATTTTTCATATTTATAATTATTTTTTATTAATTATTTTATTATTATTTTATTTTGTACATCTATAAAGCTTGTATTTCAAATCACTTTAGTCAAGTTTTTAATTTATTGAATTTATTAGTAAACACCAATCTAGATAACAAATAAAAATCTTAATATAATTTTGAATTTTAAATTATTAGATATTAAAACGTTTAGTAATGATATTTTGATTTGTAAGTTGTAACATTACAAAATTTTGACAATCAAAATTACACCAACACAAAACACGGTGATATGTTTATTTTATTATCATTGTTTTAATAATTTAGACAATCAATTTAAAATTGAATCAATTTCATAAAAAATTGACAAAATTAGAAAATTTGATCAAATTAAAAATTTTAAAATTAAACTAACACAAACAATTTGTTTGGATGAGATAAAAAATGATAACAATGATGAAGTTTTGTAGCATTCTGTAACCTTGACTGCAACAAAAAAGGCAATCAATAAAACATATATCAAAAAAATCCTATAGACTATTGTTTTGCAAATCCATATCAGATCACGAAACCAGAAATATCTATACAATTTCTAAAAGATCATTCACTCAAATTTTGTTTCGAGAACTATTGATATTTCTTCATTGCATTTTATGAGAGGGGAGAGGGGGGAACTAAAATTTTTTTCCCGCAAAAATACTTTTGGGAACACAGGCCTCAAGCCCAAGTGGTCACCCTTTGGTTTCCCAAGTTACAAGGGGGATTCAAACCCCACCAAGTCAGGTTCTTTAGAAATACATATCTACATCTGGCTATAGATTTGTACGTAGAAAATAATATCAGTGTGCGGTTCTTTCAATAAATAAAAAAAGACAGAAAACCAGGTAATAACTTCTATAATCTATCACAACTTACAAATGGAGAAGTCAAAGTTAGAAGGGATTTAGTCTGTCTAGATTATGGATTTAGGGGGGGATTTGAAAAGAGAAAGACAATGGCA